TTTTACAAATCAAAATGTAGATGCGTTGTCACCCGTGAGGACTAAGATGGAATGCCTCATTTCCAGTAAAAAGGGCCTCCGGCCACCTGCACTCACCAAGCGAAACGCAGAGGTAAACCTCTACTTCACGCTGGTTTTCTATGAGGTCGTGGTACTACCCCCGGTTCGAGCCGGCCCATCCGTGCGACAGCAAAAGCTGCCGCGTGGCTCTACCACTGTTGTCCTCGTGTCTCTTAAACTGCGACCCAAGTATATTACCAATCTTATCAAATAAAAGCCCATTCACACTATACAAGTCTTTTTTAAACGCTAGAATTTTCTCCTGTATCGTGGGGCAGTTATTATATATTTCACAAAGACAAACATCCGGACCCGGAACAATTATTTGTACGCCAGACAAATTCTTGTTCCTTGCGGGATTCGAACCCGCGGCCCTTAGCGCTGCAAGTCGTTCATAAGTCACTGCGCCACAGATTTATTAAGTTTCTAGTCTCTACTTCCACATCAGCCAGTCGAAGTCCACAACTGGACTTGGGCTTTTTTTTTATATAACAAGGGTGACAAACGAGTACGCAGTCCACCTGATTGTAAGTGGTTGCTGTGGCCCATAGATATCTACATTTATCTTCGTTTGCGAATCAAAATGCAGATGCGTTGTTTGTTACCCGTGAGGACTAAGATGGAATGCCTCTTTTTCAGTAAAAAGGGACTCCGGTTCTCTACACTCAACATACAAAACACAGCAGTGTGAAGCTGCAATTTTACGCTGGTATTCTGTGAGAGCGTGGCCCCTCCCCGGTCGAGTCGACCCATTCGTGCTACAACTCTACTATTAATATGGCTGCAACATGGTTCTACCAAGTAAAAAAAGGCTTCTCTTTTTAATGGAGAATTGGCCTTATACGTTTAACAGGAGCATGTCCGATTGATAGAAATAGAAACTTTTTATTTAATATAGATTATAAATAATACTTACTGAAAAATACCTCTGTATGGGATTTTATATTGAAGAAGGGCAACAAATTATCAAGCTGATGGCGGGAAACTAAGCTCGCACCATTAATAAAAACCACCGTCTTTACTACGCCTTGAACTATGCGGTGCCTTATTACTGTCTCGACTTACGGAAAAAGGTCATCATAGAGTCAATAGACGGCTCCGTGGCGTTAGTGGTTTAGCAATGAGTTGCAGTGCTAATTGCTGCGGGTTTGAATCCCGCACGGAACAATTATTTGTAAGGCCTACAAATAATTGTTCCGGGTCTGGATGTTTGTCCTTGTGAATTTTATGTATGTAAACTGCCTCTACGATACAGGAGAGAAATCCTAGTGTGGAGGTAACTACACCTAACAGTGGTAGAGCGACGCGGCAACTTTTGCTGTCGCACGGATGGGCCGGCTCGAACCGAGGTAGTACCACGACCTCACAGAAAACCAGCGTGAAGTAGAGGTTTACCTCTAAGTTTCGCTTGGTGAGTGCAGGTGGCCGGAAGCCCTTTTTACTGGAAATGAGGCATTCCATCTTAGTCCTCACGGGTGACAACGCATCTACATTTTGATTTGTAACAGAGGATAGATGTAGATGTCTATGGGCCGCAGCAACCACTTACCATCAGGTGGACTGTGTGCTCGTTTGCCACCCTTATCCTATAAAAAAAGGTAACGTTCTTTAAAAAAAAACACACACAACAACTCACAAACTGTAACAATATATGGTTGGATAGACTCTATGATCGTGATGGATTGGTTACAAGGGAGGCCTTCAAGGTGGACTGCATTTGTAGCTAATCGCGTAACACAGATCACTGTCATCATGCCATGTTAAAGGCACGTCAAGTCTGAACATAGCGTAGCAGATTGTGCCAGCAGAGGCCTAACTCCACTACAACTGGCGAATCATCATTTATGGTGGGGACTTATTTGGCTAAAAGGCAACAATCTACCACTTCAAGAAACATTCCATACAACTGTTGAAGAGAAAAAGGTCAAACAAGTTTGCGTGTCACAAAGGTCGATGCCATTAATCGAAGAACTTTTAAACAAACACAGCTGTATGGCGTATGTAACTCGAATCCTAAGTTGGATACTTCGGTTCGTGAACAATGCATGTAACGTCAGTAGTGTACTTGTACCACTTCTAGACCACCTGAGTCAGACGTGGTTCAACGACGTTCGTCGACGCCCGATCCTAAAAAAAAAAAAAAAAAAAAAAAAAAAAAAAAAAAAAAAAAAAAAAGGTTTTGGCATGCTCTGATCACGAATCCGCGGTCCATTTTTGTGTAGAATGCACGGTTCCCGAGATGTGTAGATCAATTAGCTAATATCTAATTGATATCCGGTAAGGGCCTCCACCGTCATTAGCGTCCCATTGTTCCTATTTCTATTGTTCTATTGTTCATTAATCACCTTCATTGCAGCGTGTGCGTCGACTATATCAGTGCTATTGTATTATAATTCTTTGTTTATACAACGCTAATCTGAATCATCAATAAAACACATTACATAATTTTGTTACAATTTTTATTTATAAAATACAAAATCTTATTAATTATTATCTATAAAATAGGAGCGAAACATCTCATCCACTAAAATATCGTTGTACAATGTGTTCCTTGTAAATATACTCGTAAAACTATGTATTGAACATCCTTGAAACTTATATAGTAAATACATTAAGCAATATTCGCCACAAACTGAAGTCCACTCATTCTGAATCCTATCAACATTCCAGTTCCATCTTTTACAATTCCTTTTTAAAAACTCTAGATGATATCGTACAGGTGATCGTCCATATGAATCAAAATATTGACCGACGTCATTCGTATCGATATATAAAGCTACCCAATGTGACCCTGCTTTATCATCTGTATCCAAATTACATATTATATACGTTGGTACGTGGGTATACATAGGCAGTCTATTAGCTGCATAAACATTATTTTCTAGACTGGGGTGAATCTTTTTCAGATGTTGTTGTACATCTAGTGTATCCATGATATTACTGCTATTAGTAGATTATTACAGTACCTAGCTACTCAATGAATAACATAGGAATGGTCAATTATAGTGATTTCTACATATTAAATTGCATTTTTGTGATATACAAATCGTACTTGAGTCATTGATCACCAAACAAAACACAATACGAAGAAATGTTGAGATAGGCAACGGAAATGTGAGATAAACTGATATGTTTCTAAATATTAAATTACATTTTTGTGTTATACAAATCGTACTTAAGTCATTGATCACCAAACAAAACACAATACGAAGAAATGTTGAGATAGGCAACGGAAATGTGAGATAAACTGGTTGACGCATAAAGTAATTATCAACTCATTACGGAAATACTTTAGATTAGAATTTTTACGTACTGGTGGTATATAAGACCAACAAATGCAGTCATCGAGTTAGTGTACGGTCGTTTGGCTACAGTGGATCTATCAATAGTACATTTGTGTTACTTCAATACACCAAAGGCTATGGATGTAAGTGTTTATTCTATTGAATAAATTACTTTTTTTCTGTTATTTTCATGTGTGTGTATTATTTTATTTAAATATTGTGTATGTATATGATTAAGCCGTGGTAACTCAGATGGTTAGCGCTAGCTGTAAATTTCACAGTACGCAACCCGGGTTCGATCCCCGCCAGCACCAATTAAATTGTTAATAGCAATTTTAAGTGCTTACTACCACGTGCTTGGTGGTGAAGGAAAACATCGTGAGGAAACCTGCATGTCTGAGAAAATTTCGAAGGCATGTGAAGTTCGCCAACACACATTGAGGGAGCGCGGCGGACATTTCCTTGCTCTAAAACCCTCTCAGAAATGAGAGGAGGCCTATGTTCAGCAGTGGACTTTAATAGGCTGTAACTTTAACTTTTTTAACTTTTATGATTAAGTGTTAACAAATTGATATTAACATGATAACTGTGTTGTTGCAGAAATCATTGAGCTTCGATGAAGATACCTATAAACAGTATTACTACTCGCCACTCTCCCCTCAAGAAGAGAGTGATGACCTCGCCATTAATAATAACACATGCGATGGTGGAAAAAGAAAATCGCAATCGATTGATCATTTTTTTGAAGCTGAATCAAAAATAAAAAAGAGGAAGCTGTTATCATCAACCGTAGCACGAGCCGCTAGAGATGGTGTATCATACATTTCTACTAATTCTGACGACGGAGACCAAGCGACGCATCTCATCAAAATTGAAATATAATAGCTTCTTCATATCGTAATATGAAGAAGCTATCCAAGATTCCAACTACTGATCATTGGAAACATGCTTCCACGAGAATTAAATATTACGTAAAGACTAATAAGGATAGCATCTACGACAATACAAACGCCCTCGTATACAATATAACAAAGACAATAGCAGAAAGTGAAAAAGTTAAAAAATACTTTTTTAACAATGACAGTCATTAGCTGATCATTAGTGAATGTGATTCTGTTTACTTCAATTACAGGAAGACAAGAGCGGAAGGAAGAGATGAGTGTGGCATACGTGTACAAAACACATCATTGAATAACAAAACTACAACACTGAGTGGAGAAGAAAACGAGAAGAGTATGCAGTACTCAAGAGCTGAATATCCATTCTTCAGTTCAAAATCTAGCCGTTTGCTTAGTTTCGAAAACTGGCCTCTAGTTATGCGACAGAAACCTGAAGATCTTGCCGAAGCTGGTTTCTTTTATACTGGCCATGCAGACGGGACCAAGTGTTTCCATTGTGGTGGTGGTTTAAAAGATTGGGAAGATGATGATGATCCTTGGCAGCAGCATGTTCAGTGGTTTAGTCAGTGTGCTTATGTAAAATTTCAACTCGAACAGTGTTTTGTATTAGATTAAATAGAAGATTTATAAAGAAATAAAAAAAATATATTGCATACAATTTGTTTTATTTAATTTTATAACGTTTCACATAGTTACATACACACAAAATGCATTACACATAACACATAAAATCTAACACACAACACATATTATAACCTTAACTACTATAGTCTACAGTAACATTTCTGTTTTTATCTATCTCAATAATATTATCAAACTCAGCATAAACTATACAGTTAATTGTTTGTATTAATGAGGATTCAAATCGTACTTCTATTCTTACACTACCATGCTTTATGAGATTCCAATGAGTTGATGAGTTAGCTGATAAATCAGGAGTTAAGTCAAATGCTAATAGACAGTAACCTTTGCCATACTGTTCACAAGAGATTCCATTTCCTTCATTAAGAAAGTGAATACCAGTTCCCGAGAATAGAGTATGATATGCTGATGTAAATATGCTATTATTAAAAGATGGTTGCAAAGCTTTTGAAGGTATTTGTTGACCATCAATATATAAGCTGAAAGAATTAATACCATAGTTTTCAAAGTTAAATGGATTTTTAGTAAGGGAACCATTAAATGCAGAATTTTTCACAAATCCAATTATACATCTTTTCGGTACCTGTCCTAAAAATATATTATCAAGAGTTTTTCCTTGAACACCTGAAGGAATTGTTAAAACTTTTACTTCAGCTCGAGTAATAGGATATTTAGCAGTGGTAGAAGCTAAAACTTTTTGATGTGCGAGTAATACACTTGGATTAATTCGTGCTCGTCGCACAATAAGAGTTGCGTCCGTAATGCAAACTTTAAACTTTACATCGTTCGACCCAACAATTAAATTAAAACTCTCTCTTGATCGAACCAATTTAACACTCATTTCAACACCATTAATTAAAAATTTATCTTGGTTAAAAATGTCACCGTGAAGATGACCAATCATTTCTATTTCCTTACTTTCACTAATCAATTCCTGTCTTTTAACAAATCCTATGTTTTTACCATCTGTAGAATCCATTTTTCCTGCTGTATCCTCATACCAAAGACTACAAGTAAGATGAGATTGTTTAGCAGCAGGGGCATAGTTTAAAAGGGTTTCCATGTATGCTCGATATGCATAGGTATTATTAGGTGGTGATACAAGTTTTTGGTTTAAATAAACATCAAGTTGACTAAAAAGTGAATGCAGCCAATTATTTACAGGTGCTACTATTGTAGTAGATACCAAGTTAGTTGAATCTTGATTTAATACTTTTGCCTTTATGTGGAGTAATGTATGAGACAAATCTATGTAGTCATCGCCGGTCCCAGGAACTTGAAACTCGATAGGTCCATCATCACCAAGAGATGAAATTGGTTTATAATGAATCCACAATCCATTTTCAATGCTAGTTTGTGTAGACGGTAGTGCAAACAAATCCAATTCTGACTTAACGCACTCGCAAGAATGATTATGAAGGAAAGACATATTTAGTTTGAAAATATATCTTTGATATTTTTTGGTTTTAGACTAAGTTTTTTCGCAGCTTTCACTTTAGCAGTTAATGGTGGAATGAACGATGTCAATCGTTTTCTTTTAGTTTTATACCCAGATCCAGTCATGTTAAATTGATCAATTTTCTCATCAGCCTTTCGTTTTAAATTCGTACTAACTTGCTTTAGACGATCTTTTATTGAGGCTTCCATAGGACGGGCTTGAACCATATCCGATAAAAGTCCTACTCCAGCGCTTAATGCCTCCTTACCAATCACTCGAGCACCACTTGAAAGTAAAGGTAAAACTGATCTGAATAACCCCCCTAAGAAGCTCCCAATACCATGACCGCGTTGATATGGTGAACCCTTATAAATTACTCCAACTCCTGATCCAGCTTGATGTGTATAATAATTTTCATATGGACATTTATGATGATCACGAAGAGAATTCATTATTATAATTTTCGGAAATGTAGTTTAATACACACGGTTCCAAACTGGAATGGTATTTTTTGTCCTGTACTCGATCTTATAACTATTTCCAACGTATCGAACTCTCTTCGCATAACAGGTAAGTAGTGAGGTTGAGAGAAAACGTGCATTTTATTTGCACCATAAATGTATTTTGTAGGATCTAATGAAATGACTCTTAATAATGGAGTCATAACATCACCCACAATCTGAGGATCGATAATGTCGCAATATAGAAATAGTTGAGATGGTAACCCTAAGTGTAAATTAGCAGGACACTTTCCAAAATTTCTCTCTAGGAGATTTTTATTTGGTTCATAACCTAGCTGTAAACTTAATTTGGGTGATAATGTTACGGATGTTATATTTTTATCCAATACCGAAATAGACACAAATTTTGTTATTTCATCATAGCGAAATTTCAAGTTCTCTCCGATACCATTTAACACTCTTAAAATATGCTCAACGTTATCATAGTTGGTAGCTGGAATATGTTTTTTGTAGTACACTGTGGATGGCTTATCTTCATTAGGCATTAACATAGATTTTGTAATGTATATAACATTTTCATGGTCTTGAACAGTAAACATGGTACATGGATATTGAAACTCGACAACTCCAACCGACCATTCACCTTCTAATTTTATAGCTTTTGGTAATTTCGTTGAAAAATTTGTGGTCTTGTTATCAGGAAAGTATTCCATTGAACTATTGCTGAGCAAAGTTAAATAGAAACTTTCTTTATTCATATTTCTTTTAAACTAGAAGCTAAAATCCAACTGTTAAATTTATCTGGATAACCTTTCCACTTCACTAATACTTCTTTTCTGTTACCTGAATAACGAGTGTCAATTATTTTATCTATTTTATGTTGTGAGGTGGGGTTGTAAGTGATTTTCTGTAATTCTCTTTCATAAAAAGTACCAATTATTGGTTCATTTTGTAAATCTGTTATTGTATAAACAACCCATGGAGATCTATCAATTATTGAAGATATAATAAATATTTCATCACTCCAATTTGATTCATATCCTTTTTGGAATACATGTTTATATTTAGTTATTCGAACATAATCACCCACATTGAAATTTGGTTAAGGATTTTCTAAAGAAAGTTTTTTTGACCGTCTGTCATAAAGATTAGTCCAAACTGTCATAATATTGTTGGAATTTACATCACATGGGCACATCTTAATACTAGAGTGAAAGCTGTGATTATAAGAGTATATTAAATCTTGTAAAACATCTATATATCTATAAGTATTATTATGAGTGAAATAACGCCACATTTTCATTTTTAGTGTTCTTTGAAATCGTTCAACAATACTGGCCTTAATGTCAGGATTGTTAGTGGTATAGTAATTAATCTTTTTGGATTTAAAGTATTTTTGTACATCTTTTGAAACAAATTCGGTACCTTTATCGGATTGTATGTGAGTAGGTGTTAAATTACTTTCAGTAAATATACTTTCAAAACATTCTTTAGTTGTTTCTGAGTTTTTCTTTTTCATTGGTCTTGCAAAAGCATATTTACTAAATACATCAATAATACAAAGTATATACTTGAAACCATCATTATATTGAGAATAAGTTCGCATATCACTTAAATCAGCTTGCCACAGTTCATTAATATTTGATAGAATGTACCTATTACGCGGGAATTTTTTTCGAATGGGTTTATGTAATGTGTATGTTTCTTGTGATTTTAACCATTCCTTTACTTGCTTTTTATTCATTTTACCCTTCATGGCTTTTGATAATTTATCAATACTACCAAAACCAGCGGGATTAGATGGATCATAATAAATCCTGTTAATTTCTTCTAGTACGGAGTCCATTTTTCCCACTCAAGTCCTTTACGTATTTTAGTTGTAGACTTTTTATCTCTACTGCACGGTGTAGAAAACTCTTGAACTTCAATCTCAGAGGGTTTGTTCAGATCTTTTGCTTGAAGTTGGTTAATAAACTCACATCTCCTTGGATTTCCAATATAAGTAAGTGGTACTTTAATATCTTTTAATGCTTCAGCAAATCTAACCCACCCTACCGGATCACTTCTTTTTAGGGGTCTTAGTGAATCATTTATTAAATCAACAATATTACTTCCAGGAATTTTTTCACTATCAATTATGACTGTACCTTCATTATCCCAATGTATTTTACTTTTACTTGTTTCAACTAAGTTTAATAATAACTGCCCTTTTTTATGATAAGTTTTTGGTATTAAACTGAGTATTTGAGTTGGTGTGTAAAGTGGATTTTCATCATTTTCTTTACTTTTAATGGATCGATTCTCCTCCAGCAAAGATTCAATATCAACTGAAGTTTTTAGATCTCTATCTTTATTTTTAAAACCAATTTTTGACTCATTTGAATCTTCATTAGATGTATCAGAATAAATTGGTAATTTGAGTGGTTGACGATCCTCTTCGGTAAAATGAAGGTATCTTTGCAGTGTTTGTAAATATAATATCCATTTCTTTCGGTCTTCCGTCTTACTATTCATAATATTTTGCATTTCAATATCTAATCGAGATAAATTACTATTAACCTTATTTTCTTGTTTTAATTTTTCAATCAATCCAGGTTCGATAAGTATCATTTTCTTTGCATTTTCCATGTTAACTGGCTAGTCCACTCACTAATCCACTCAATATTGCACCTAATATTGTTGGTAAGAAAGCCCCTCCTTTTTGTATAATTATATTTTTTCTTAGTTTATGTTTACACTTACGTACTAGTTTACGGAGTATGTTTTTATGTTTATTCAATTTTTGTTTATCCTGATCTTTAAGAGGTACTTTTCCTTGTAAAACGTTATGAATACACTCACAAATACAGTTAATTTCTTCTTCATCACACGTTTTAAGTAATGCTCTTTGATATTTTGGTTTAAGCGTATGCAAAGCGGTTAGCAAATGTTTATATGTTGTGAGTCGACGATGCATCATTTAGCAATGATTTCAATTGTTTGATTCTTGGTGTATTTAAACTCTTTTGTGGGGACGTAGACTGTACAGAAACCATTAAATGGAAAGACATTTGTCTTGATACGACAAAAATCATTGGTATTCTGTTTTAAATCTACCATTAAATATCCATGTGCCTCTAGAGTTGCATCCCTGTAGGCATTTTCAATGAATTTTGGGTTATCAGGTGATACTTGTCTTGCTAAATATCTTATTTGAGTTTTATCTCGAGGGTTTTTAAAATATATTATATAACTTGAGTTTAAAGATATGTCTCTTTGTCCTTTACCCTGATGAAATCAATTTTGTGTTAGATAAAATACACTAAGATTCCTGTGATGACTACCTTTTGTAAATATATCTACAATTCTTCCATCGGACTCTCTCATTAGATCATCAATAATAACAAGATGTGGGTTTTCACCATCAAACATATTAAGATTTGGAATTCCTTGATGATAGTTAACATTTGGTAAATTATATAATGGTTGCATTTCATCAAAGCACCATGTGATCTGATTAAAATCACAATTACATATTTCTGTAACTGATTTTATGAAATTTGTTACAAAATTTGACTTCCCACACCCACTTGGTCCTGCCACAATAGCAGTGAACGGATGGATAAAGTGAAACATAACACACGTCTAAAGTTCAAAGGGGTGAAATAAAAAATGAAAGTGTTGGTGTAAACAATTAATATATATTCCAAAAATTATATAAAACAGAATTATCTGTATACTATTTCTAACACAATTAGTACATCATAATTTTACAATTAACTCAACCTCAAATAAATAGAAACAACAATTAGTACATCATAATTTTACAATTAACTCAACCTCAAATAAATAGAAACAACAATTAGTACATCATAATTTTACAATTAACTCAACCTCAAATAAATAGAAACAACAATTAGTACATCATAATTTTACAATTAACTCAACCTCAAATAAATAGAAACAACAATTAACTTAAATTATTTACAATAAAACAATGTTTAAATATGTAATAAACTACGTCATATTATAGTATTATCATAATTTTACAATCAATATAAATTTTTCTTAAACGCAGACATAAAAGTAAAAACTATCAACACTTAACGCAGTTTATAATGACCCCAAGCTAATGTTTCAATATTATTATCTAAAATATGTCTCTTTGTGTCATTATATGATAAACCTATCTTATTTAATTTTTGTGTGAAAATTGTGTGTTTAATTGATTTAAATCTAAGCATACTATAATATTGCACTTTTTTATTAAATAGAGAAGACTTATAACTATTCATTGTCATCTTTTTAGTGATACATTTATTTACCTCTTTTGCCTTGGCTATAGTCTTATTCTCTAAGTTAAAAGCGTACATTTTGGATCGTAAACCCACAAATTCTTTCATGATTTTACCATTATTTTCATCTTTAAAAAAACCTAATTTCTTTTTATTTAATTTTGGATATTCAAAAATATTATTTGTATCATAATCTGAGGTATCAAAGTATGATGAAAGGTCAGGTTTTATATCAGTGTAAAAATCATTTGTAAAT